CATATGCTACTCACACAAAATGATGATCAGGGCTAATAGAATGTGGAAGATGTTACATCGTTTTTTCATTAATTAAAGAGAATTACATGCTTTTCCTGAAATCAGGTTATAGTTTGATATTTAATTTTTTTTTTAAGCAATATTTGTCATGAGGGACGCCTGGGTGGTTCGGTCGGTTAAGCATCAGATTCTTGATTTCAGCTCAGGTCATGACCTCAGGGTTGTGAGATGGAGCCCCGTGTTAGGTTCCACAGATAGGCATAGAGCCTGCTTAAGATTTTCTCTGTCTCCCTCTTCCTCTGTCCTCCCCTCTCTCTTTCCCTCACTCTGTCTCTCCCTCTCTCTAAAAATATATATAAGAGAAAATTAAGAACGGTTGCAGCCATATGTGATTTTAAAGCTTGTTCTTTCACCATGTCTTTTCCTTATGATGTGACATAAACAGTGTGTGCTATAAAGGCTAGAAGACATAAAGAGAAGGAGATACTTTTTAAAACCCTTTTGTCTTTCTTACCAATACATACTTTTTTCTGCTAGACAGAATATGGTTTAGAACAAAGCAAAATGTTAGGAAACCTTAAGATTGTCTTTAATAAATTAAAGAATAAATTTGAAGAATATTTGTTGAGCACTTATCATATGCTAGGGATATACCAGTCAAAAAATAGCCTGTCTTTGAGTGCTTTGAGTTTAGTCAATAAACAATAAAAAAAGTGGCAAATTATATATTATATCAGATCTCTAATAGAATTTTGGAAAAAGATAAAATGTAGTATATGGAATAAGGAGGGCTTGTAGTAGGAAGTCAATTGTTGTGTTGAATAGGGTGATTATGGTAGGACACATGGAGCCTGAAAAGCTATGCTATGAGATTGTAATTTCATACTGTATATTTGTATAAAAAGCAAAAAAAAAAAAGGTAGAGCATGTAAAAATATTCTCTAGTTCAACATTAGCAGAGCTATTATGCATTTCCTTAGCTTTAGAATATCATATTTAAGGGATGCCACTTGGTTTTGGAAGAGTTTTCTAAATGATGTTTCTTGTTTATCTGTCTATCCATCCATCATCTATCTATTTTAAAGCTGGAGGAAATTCAAATACAACTTCTCTTTACAAATGGAATATATTCAGCTCCCTGCTCAAAACAATGTTTTTTTAACTAAGACATCAGCAGTCAGCCAATGCAACCATCTGTCTACATAGAAAAACTTGTATTGGTCAAAAGAGCATTCCCTAAATAAAGACTGTAAAGCCTAAAACAAAATACTTCGAGAAAGAAATAATAGCTCAGATACTACTTATTATTTTTTTTTTTTTTACCCCTGAAAGACAGATAACTCTAGTTTATTGTTTTTCTTTTTGGAATCATCTTTCTATACGTACAGTCAAATTCAGGCACTAGATTGCCTTATAAATATTAATTTATAGTTAATTAGTCTTTTTATTTGAAAGACTGCTGCAAATGTCTGGTCCGTCAAGGCATGCATACTAATTATAAGTAAATGCACCTTTACAATCTTCATAGGGAAATGATAGTTTAATCTTAGGACTGTCACTTCTTATTGGAATGGATGATGCCTGGCAGCTCTATGTCAAAATGAGTTATCAGAAGGGAATTCTTCAAAGGCTCTTAGGTTCTTAATTGACAAAACAATAAAACAGAAAGACAATCCACAGTCAATGAATAGCCCCATTTATATAGTGTTTCTAACACCTCATTCTACATAGTAACTTTATGCTTGGAAGAGGAAATCCTAAATTATACGCCAGGATTTAGGTTAAATCTCAGAAGTTCCTAAAGTACATGCTAATGAAAACTTACTTATATTTGAATTGTTTTAATTACCTTGTAGCTTAGATAAAACTAGCTTACTCACAATGCTTTTCACTTTTTTCCTAGATATTCTTACAGTTCAAGAATATTGTTAAATATTCAGAAAAATATCCAATAGATAAAAGTGGCTACCTGCTCTGTTTTGAATCTTAACATACACCACTAGACACAGTCAGTGTGAAGATCTCCTTTCCTTGAATTATTGCTAGATTTCTGAAAGGTTCAAAAGCAAACCTCTGAAGGAAGATTAAGAAAAATAGTTTAGCCTATGAACAAATAATATCTTTAGACATAAAGCTAACATTGGAATGTACTAGGCATTACAATAACTTTTATACGTACATTAATTCATTCAGTCTTCACAGCAACATTTTAAGGAATGTCCTATATTATTTTTAATTTTTAGGTGATATGATTGCAGCTTAGAAAGCTTAAATGAATCATTGTAAATCATTATGAAATATGAAAGTGGAAACTGCAGATTTCAGTGTAAATCAGCTTGTGACCAGAACCCAGAGTCTTAAAAACACAGTGCAATGTTGATTTTTAGTACTATGTAACTTTTTAGAGAATTTCCAGATTTCTGTCTATTCAAAGAGCTTCCAAGTTCAGGAAATTCTCCAAATAAGAAGGAAGCTTTTTATGTGAACTATATAATCAGTAAGAATGTTTGGAAAATGCATAAACTAAATCAGTAACCACATGTACACATGCAATCATAAACTAAAATTTCAAATTCACTCTTTCTTTGATATGTATGATGTGTGTCCCTTCTCATACATTTCTGACTCCCCTACCATGCCTCCTTTTACTTAGTTTGCTCTAGTCACACTGGGTTCCATATGCTTTCTGAGAAAGACCAGGCATGATTTCTACTTTAGGGTGTGAGCTGGAGATCTTCGTTTTCTTGTACAGATCCTTTCTTTATGTTTCTCTACTCTCCTCTGTTCCCTTTCAGTGGTTTCCCTCCCCTCTGGCTTCTGGTGGGTTCATCTGATAGGCATCACCAAGAGAGTATCAGGAGGAGGGAGGGGAGAGGTCCCATGCACTTACCCTGGCTCCTTCCCTGTGTGTTCACTGCAGCTGGGCTGAGTTCCTCAATCAGAGGCTTCCAGAGCTCCTGTGAGGCCATGGTCTTTCTCCTTGGTTTGCTTTGTCTTCCCTTAACTGCTTTCTCAGTCCCTCGTTTTATTACCAGTCCTGAGAGCCTGCACTCTTTCTTATGTCTTGTCCACACGCTTATAAATAGTCCCTATATTCAAATTTTCACCAACTACCCATTTTGAAAGAGCTATGTACTCTCTGCTGAAACTGACTGATGCAGGGCCTATGCACATATTATAATCTTTGACAGGAACACCTTTCTCCCAGATAGCCTCATGACTAATCATTCATTCTCTTCAAGCTGTTGTTCAAATATCACTTTGCCAATGAGGTCTGTCCTGACATTTTTATTTAAAACTATAACCCTTACCCCTATCCCAGCATGCAGATTCCCCCTTACCTAAATCTGTTGCTTTATAGCAATCAGCACCTTGTAATAATCTACCTATTTTGTGTATTTATTATGCTTGCTGGCTTAGCTTATCATTAGCATATAGGAACCATGAGAAGAAGAATATTTGTCTCTCTAGTTAATTTATGTATCCCAAGCTCTAGCAGAGTGTCTGGCACATAGAAAGCAATCAATAAATATTTGTTGAATGGATTTAAAAAGTTAATGCAGTGGAAGTAAGTTTGACAAAGGAGGCAGCGTGGTATACTGCTAAGAACATAGTCTTTGAAATCAGATATATCTTCTTTCAAACCACAGCCCAGCCATTTGCTAGCTCTGTGGAGTTAATTTAATCCTGCTGAAATTCAATCTCCTTATCTCTAATATAGGCTAATAATACCTTGCAGAGCTGCTGTGAGGTTACAGGATGCCTGGTGTTCTATGTCTATAAAAATCACTCTTCTGCCACACTTTATTTAGTGGTGTTGTTTTTTACCCATATCGTATTAAATTTAAAGAGTTGGGTCACATGATTAAAATACAAGTAGGATGACTAAAAAATGCTTACAACAACTCTACTTTTTTTTTTTTCCATCCTGCTAGTCTCCTCTCTCCTCTTCATGTTATAGGCCTTTCACACATCACAGAAAGCATTTAATACTGTATGAACTCTATTGCCAAAGGGTAAATATTCTGAGGCACATTTATTAGATTTCCCTCCGAAAAATGGGTAGACTATCTTGTATAAAATGTCATATCATAAGAAGGACTGAGGGACAATGGATCTCCTAGTTCATTCAGTCTTCATGATAGTAAAGTAGACAAGGGAATTAGGAATTAGATAAAAATTTAAAAAAATTAAAACTAACTTGTTTTGATAAAATCACATAAAAATTTACTGAGGCTCTTAGCTCACTAATGTTCTGCCAGTTTTAACTACTAGTTTGTGGGATGCAAATTCAAATCTCATTCTTTCCAAATGAATAGAAACTTTATATAATGATAATTGATTTCCCCAATTAATGCAATCAGGCTTGAGTTTTTATGGACAACTATTATTGCTGTTCTTATTCAAATGTATTCCCAGCCAGCCTACATCATTTTTGTGAACCAGGCAAACCTACATCAGTTAGACATCTCTACTCTGGTGCCTATAAGCACCTTAAACGGAAAACATCCCAAGCTGAATGCATTTTCCTCTCCCACAAATCTACTCATCCTTCCTATTGCTTAACTGAATTTCTTAAATATTCAAATGGTTGCTAAAACCAAACGTCTAAGAGTCATCCCAGTCTCCTCTTTCACTAGCTAAATCTACATTGATTCAAACATCTATCAACAAATATTTATTGAGTATCTCCTAGACCCTATGATACCAAAATACTCTTGTCCTCAGGAAACTTATATTGTAGTGAAGTGAAAAGCTCACAGGCATGTAAGTCAATCAATAGGGAAGATAATTCAGATGGTAATAACTCTAAAGAAGAAAATAAGAGTGCTCTGATAGAGTCTGAATGGAAGGGGGTGAGGAATCACTGGGGAAAGGTCTCTCTGAGAAAATGTCTTCTAAGATGAATTGATCATTGTCAGATGGTCAGTCATGTATAGATCAGGGAAAAGCAATTATTCCAGTAAGACAAAAGAGCAAGTGTGTGTGTGTGTGTGTGTGTGTGTGTACACACACACACACACACACACACACACACGTCTGGGCACATTCACAGAACAGAAAGAAAATCAGTATTAATGGATTGGATCACCATGAGTGATGGAGAATATATTAGATGAACATTATATGTTAGTAAGGACAAGGTGAACTAAAGATTTTGTAAATTATGTCAAGATTTTGCTTTTTATTTCCAGTATGAGGATAAAACATTGAAAGAGCCAATGACTTACTAAATGTATACAAATCTCTTCACATGTCTTGAAACTATTTTCCTCTTACTTCAACTCATGGCTGATCTTTCAGTTTAGGCCATGATTATTCATTCATTAATTGAATGAATTAATCTATTAATTATCCTTTATCCATACCCCCTCCAGTCTTTATAGTTTCTAAATTTAGACCCAACTGTAAAACTAGATTTATTCATTTATTCAGACTTTATTTTTTAGAGCAGTTTTAAGTTCACCTGAGGGCCCATATACCTGGGGGCCAGTCTTGGTGCTGTATTTGTTTCTTTGTTTTGTTTTGTTTAATCGACTTTAATTCTCCTCCACTCCTTCTGCTACACAAGCATAGTTTCCCCCACTATCGACATTACCTAGCACAGTGGCCTATTTGCTGTAGTGGACCTACACAGACACACCACCGTTATCCAGAATCCATAATTTACATTAAGCTTCCCTCTTGGTGTTGTATATTCCATGGATTTTCACAAATGTGTGATTACATGTATCCACTATTATAGTATCACACAGAGTATTTACACTACCTTAAAAATCCTGTGTGCTCTATCCATTTATCCCCCTTTCCCCTGCACCCACCCTAACCCCTGGCAACCACTGATCATTTTACTGTCTCTGTAGTTTTGTCTTTTTCAGAATGGCATCTAGTTGGAATCATACAACATGTAGCCTTTTAAGATTGGCTTCTTTCACTTAGTGATATGCATTAAGTTTCCTCCATGGCTTTGCATGATCAGTTATTTCATTTCTTTTTAGCACTGAATAATATTCCACAGTCTTCATGTACTACAGTTTCTAAATGCATTTGCCTACCGAAACCCATCTTGCTTGCTTCCAAGTTTAAGCAATTATGAATAAAGTTCCTATAAACATCTGCATGCAGGTTTCTGAGTAGACATAAGTTTTCATTTCCCTTGGGAGCCCCTTAAGGAGCACAATTGCTGGATCACCATGAAGGTAAAATCCAGGTTCTTCAACAAATGTAAAAAGATCTTTTCTATATAATGTCTTTCCCCACCTTTCACCATCTCGCCTATGTACTCTTTATGTTCTAGACTTACAGAACTATTTTAGTGCCAAAATAAGCCCTACCTCTATTCCTGAAAATTTCCATGTGTTCTTTTCTTTGTCTTGATTGTTTTTAACCAGTTTTCCTGACCAATTCCTGCAAAGTATTTGGATTTCTGTGTATTTTCCTTCCTTTATTTTTTCTGTAATCCTCCCACAACTCCCAGAACTGGTTAGTTGGTCTTGTATGTATTTTTCCAATAATGACATTTTATTTATCCCAATCATAGTAGAATCACACTGTGTTATATACTTGTTTCTTGTGAGCACCTTGAGGAAGGATTGCATTATTTTCATTGGGGTATTCATAAAGGCTTAGCACAGTATCTGATATGTAGTAGATGCCAAATAATAGACAGTGTGTCACATTAAGTTGATGTCTGTGTGTCCATCTTCCCCACCCTCAAAAAAAAAAAAATGGGGACAAGCAGAGTGGGAATAAAATTGTATTTTGGTAATCTCCCATATACCATATATAATCTCACTTGATTTTTTTTTTTTTTTTTTGGTTTGTATACATTGATATCAAATTTATGATAAAATATTCAGGAAAAATAGGGTATAGATGTAAATTTCAAATTTGATAAATATTGAAGGATCTCAATAAGAAATAATCACTGCAAAATGTTTTAATGAATATAATTCCAAGCAGTATCTTTTTATTGGTTTCAGTGAATAAGATTAATGAATGTGTGTAATTTATCATTTGGCTATACAATTACTTTTTCAATTGCAATTTCAATTACTTTAGAATAGCTTTAGATGTATAGAAATATATAATTTAAACCTAGCTTATCACCATTGAATTTGGCTTTGATCACCTGGCTGAGTTAACGTTTCTTAGATTTCTCCACTGTAATGTTAATTCCCCTGCCACTGTCCATACTGTAGTCCTTGAAAGGAAGTTAACAATGCACAGTGGCCACTTACACAGTGGGAAGGTAAGCTCCACATTCTTTCAGAGTGGGGATCTAAGTAAGCTACTTGGAATTCTTATTCATCAGAGATTTCTCTATCAAAGTAACTTTTACAAATATTGTTTAAGAGATGCCTGGATGGGCTTAGTCAGCCAAGTGTCTGCCATCGGCTCATGACATGATCCTGGGGTTCTCAGGGAGCACTGGGCTCCCTGCTCAACAGGGAATCTGCTTCTCCCTCTTCAGCTTCCTCTCTGGTGTTTTCTCTCTCTCTCTCTTTCTGTCAAGTAAATAAATAGAATCTTAAAAATATTAAAATATTGTTTAATATATTTTTGTTTTCAGATCTGACTCAATAAATTTTTTACAAACTACATGAGTATAGGTGCTTGTCTTTGCCATTCTTGACCTCAGAGAATTCAATCTTAACACATAGTGAAGAGAAGGTGTATATTTTTGTCAATTTTAACTATGAGATATAGGACTAAAATGTAATGCTCCTGTCATATTCTCTCCCACCCTCCCTCCCCCAACCCCTCTCATTCCCTCCCTCTCTCTCTCTCTTTTCCTTTCTTCCTTCCTTCCTTCTAATTGTTAAGTATTTTCCAACGGGTGAAAAGATGAATTTATTTATTCATTGTTCTCTCTATACACATCCCCTGCCACCATTCACATGCACACACTGTAATTGCATATCCAGGGCCAGCCATAGACCAGCTGGGAAGTACTGAAGTTTGTCAGATTAGTGCACATCTACTTCCTTTGTCATTATTTCATTGCCCCTACTCTGATACCCTTCTCTTCTCTACATACATTTCTAAGACTCTTCTGCATACACTATTTCCCTAAAGAAACTTCTGTAGGATTTTTTTTTTTTAACATACTGCTCTGCCTACATCAATTTTTTTTTTTTTTTTTGGTAAATAAATTTAATTCATTAACAGTAAAATATTCTTTGGCACTTTTAAGAAATATGACGTCATATAATAGAGATACAGAATAAGTTTCAGACAGAAGAGGGAGACATAGAATCAAATGATAGAGTGTAAGGTATTAATTTTGAAATCTGATATGTAGTTGACTTGAAATTCAACAAGATGGTTTTGAATTATAAACTGGGAACAGTTAAGGTTGATCTCTGATGGGCGCCTGGGAGGCTCAGTGAGTTAAAGCCTCTGCCTTCAGCTCAAGTCATGATCCCAGGGGCCGGGGATCGAGCACCGCATCGGGGTCTCTGCTCTGTGGGGAGCCTGCTCCCCCCTCTCTCTCTTTCCCTGCCTCTCTGCCTACTTGTGATCTCTGTCTGTCCAATAAATGAATGGAATCTTCAAAAAAAAAAAAGTTCATCTCTGAGAGTGAAGAGAGAAGTAGTGGAGTCAGCAGAGATCAAAAACTAAGTCAGTATTTACAAACCAATTAACTCTCAACTACGTCGTATCTAAAGTAGCTTAGCAAAGTGAAGGTCAGTGGATAGAGACCTGTAAGAAAGAATCTTGCTTAGCACTTGGAGAAGAAACAAAATTAAGTGTATCCAAGCAAATATTTATATAAACAAAACTGTTTAAATAAAATAAGAGATACAAGTTTCTTTGCGTTTTTCCTAAAATAAGATTTTATTTATTTATTTAAGAGAGAGGGAGATAGTACAGAAGAAGAGTTAGAAGCCAACTCCCTGCTGAGCAGAGAGGCCTAGGTGCTACTCACATCCAGGATCCTGAGAAATGACAAAAGCCAAAGGCAGCTGCTTAACGCACTAAGCCACCCAGGCAGTCTGAGGTACAGGTTTCTTAATGTAGGTCAGAGTTCTCTTACTTTTTGTAGGTTGGCATTTTGTTCGTTGCCCTTTAGAGTCATTAATCTAACTAATAGATTTGTGTCTGTTTAGGAAGATGTTCAAAGTCGGTTATGAATATTCTGGCAACTCAATGCAGTAAATTCAAATGTTTCTAAATAATAATAGTTAGTAAATAAATAAATAAATGTTGTGTGTTTAGCTTGGTTTAAGCATAGATAACCATACTTTCAATTAATCTAGCTTCTGGGTTATGCTACTTTCTAAAGATACATCTCATTAGGTATCTAAATTTGTTTTAATTTAAATGTACCTTGGATACCTAGAGAATCCATGTGTCTTCATAAAAAGGCCCACTGGTAAACTAACATGAATGCCTGGAGGGAGGGGAGAGACAGTGTTCTGAAGTTATATTTTGGAACCGTTGGTTTAAAAAAAAACTTCACAGGTTTGTTTTTTTTTTTTTGGTTTTGTTTCAAGATTTCTGTGAGAACTTAACATGTTAATAGGCATTGTGAATTTTTAGGGGAGAGATGTCAAATATAGTTTTTCCCATGTTTATTTGGCCAAAAAAAAAATTCACTTATTAACACTTAAAACAAGTTCATCTAACTTTCTCATTCTACACATAAAAAAAATACTAACAATTCATTCCTAATTCTGTGTTAGGAACACGTTTTGTTGGTGAGCAGAGGTCCTTCATTCCTTTTATATAGCAGTGAAACAGATTGGTGTGCTTCCTGCCTGCAAAGAGCTTACTATAGTCAAGAACTAAACAGGGCCCATTATAACACATTCCTGTACATGGATAACAACTTAGAAGCATAACACAAGTTAAATAATATTGCTTGACTTTTAAATATACTTGACCCTAAAATATCATGTTGCAATAAAGTGTTTATTTGTCTTGTGGTTGAGAATGAGCACGCACTTAGAAACACTTTAACAGTTCCATATTGGAATTCATTTTATTATAAATACATTTTTAAAGGCTAAAATAGAATTTTAAGATCATTTTTA